CTGGAACAGAGAGGTTTTCAAAGGGATTTTTTTCCCTCTAACCCACACAGGCAGTCCCAGGAGGGTGAGGAGAGGGAAGGGCTCCAGAGGGGAGAGGGCAGAATGCATAAACACCCCCTTTTATGCTGAGCCTGAAAGGCTCCAAAAGCCCAAGAGAACCCTCTGCAGCAGTGCTTTAAAGGGATCAAAAAAGAGACAAGTGTTGGTTTATAGCTGGGTGTCAGCGTGAAATGCCAAATAAAAATAATCACTCAGTGCTATTACAGCAAAAAGGCAGACAAAGAACTGGGAAGAGGTAATTTTGAAACACATGTCCCAAGTCATCACTGGCTTCTGAACACGAGACAGAGCCTGCCTGTGGGTTTGCAGGCCAAAAAAAACATTCATCTGCCCCAAAGTGCTGAGGGGGCTCCTGAAAACTGCACCAAGGATTTGAAACCAGCACAGAAAATTTCAGCTGCCTCGGGTTTTGCAGTGCAAGAACCACAAAATGGTTTAAGGTTTATGTGGCTTTTTAAAACTCATGTTGGGATTCTTGCAAAGCCTCCCTGTGTAAATTCGTACATGTATGATGGGGATTTTCTGGCATTCCAGAAAATGCTGAAGGAAAAGGCATGAGTACATCCTCACAGGACACATTTCTCTGCTCTTCATTTCCACTGCAGCCAGCTGCTCACTGAGAACAGAGCTCACAGATTAGTCTGGGACACATCCTCCCTTTATTCATCAAAGATCAAATTGGGGTGTTCAGTAAATATGGCCTTCCTACGTATCTGAGAAATATGAACTGGACAAAAATAGCAATGGCTCCTGTGAAGAGAGTGGGAGCCTGAGGAACCTGATTGCTCACAGCAGGCAGAACTGCCTGAACCATGTGGAGAAGGGGACAGGAGCCCCAGGGCTGCAGAGGGGACAAACTGCCCAGTTCTGCTGCAGCCCCCATGATCTGTTCAGCCCAAAACACAAACCCTGACCCAGCCTGAGGATAAATCTCCCAGCACAACCCCAGCAAGCAAAGAAGGATCCCAGAGGGGTTTGGGCTGGAAGGGCCTTTAAAGCCCATCCCATTCCACCACCCCAGAGTGCCCAAGCCTGCCCTTGAACACATCCAGCCATGGGGCACGGTTTTATCCCTTTTTTTATCCCTTTGGGTTTTTTTCCCAGGTGAAGCAGGTCCACACTCCTGGATGCAGGGCAGGCTCAGGCCTGAATGAAAGCACCTGGCAGGTCAGCCCAGTTCACAGATTATGGCTGAACTTTCTGCATCCACATTGTGTAAGGGTCTGTGGCCAGCAGAAAATCTCTTAAGAGGATGTGAACAACAGCAGCTGAAATTTTAAAGCACTCTTCCTCAATCCTCCTTGCATAATTACCCTTTGCTGAGGAAGCAGCAGACAGGAATAGTTACTCGAGATAAACTGAAAAACACGGACATGCATTCCTCAATACAGAATTTCTACACAGAATCAGAATCCTTGAGGTTGGAAAAGGCTTGAAGATCATCAATGCATGCTTTTGTTACAGGCTGGCAACTTACTTTCATGACATGCTTCAAAGGGAAGGCTGAGGGTGACACTTCATTTGGTATTTTAATATTAAACATGGCCATTGCTGCCACTCAAGTGACACCCTGCTCACTGTGGCACTGAAAAAGTTATGTGGTGAAGGCTGAAACAGCATAAAAATATTTTTAGGTCAAATTTGGAAAGAGAGTAAATGATCACAGCTTTCTGAAAAACACATTAAAGGCTTTATTCTGTATCTTTTACTGGGGGAGATTTGATTTCTAGTGTAAGTTCCTTCACAAAGAGAGATGAAACCTCCCCTGACTGCAACAGCTACTTGGGATGGTGGATGGCTTTTATGCTTTTTAAAACACTAAAAATAATTGCTCCACATGAAATGAATATATAACTCTTAAATATATCCCAGAGTACATGAGAAAAAAAACCCTCCTTTTTTTGTCATCCCAGCCTGGGCCACAGTTTGTCTACTTTTTTTTTTTGTTGTTTTATTAGACTCACTGGAAAACAAAGTACTGAAATAATCATGACATGACTTAAAATATTCAGACATGCCAGAGATGTGGAAAAGCCTTAAAGTCATGTTTCACACCTCTGTGGCTTTTTGGAAACAAAAACCCAAACAAGTAACAGAATCCTCCTGCCACTCACTACTCCTGTAAACTCCAGTTCACCTTGGTCTGCAAAGAATTCAGTCTCAAATTCCACCACACAATTCAGTCTCAAAATACAGCACACATCTCACTTGGCTCCTACAGGCAGAATTCAATTCTAGATGGGGGAAATAAAGTCACAAAGAATCCAAATTCTGATGGGGGAAATAAAGCCACAACACTTTCCACAGCTCACTTGTTGTTTCAGCAGGTAAAGCAGTTTTTATTCCAATTGCTTAGAAGGTCCTTAGAAGATCACAAATCCCTAGGATTCCTTATCTCCCATCATTTCTGTGAAAAACACATTTCCTCTCTGGTGAAAATTTAAAAAGGATAATAGGAGATAAGGATTATAGAGTAAATGTTATTACAGCTAAGAGCACACTGTTATCTTTGGGAATACTCTTTAAATACTTTTTCTTTTATATCAGCTTGTTGTATATTCATAGGCTCCTTAGCATAGTAAACTTTTCTTTAAATCAGTTCATATGTCCTAAGAACTGTTTAGTAAATCTTCTTTTTGGGTCTTTTTTTAGAGTATGTGTATTCTTTGGTTATGGTTTCAGTCTTAAAAAATATCTTTAGTCTTGTTCTTATCACCTCCAGTTCTTGGGCTTGGGTCTACACTGCCTTCAGACATTGAGTGTTCATAGTTGGCATATTTGTAGTGGGTGTCTTCTTTATACGTTTATTAGATGTTATCTAAGTAGGTATTCATACTTATATCAGCTATTTCACTGCTATGGCTAAGCTTAATTAACAACAGAAATAAAAACTAGATCTTCATAACAAAGTTACTTTAACATCACACATATAGAATCCATTTTAACATTTGCAAAAAGCCAGTATTAAAATATGTATCTATAACAATTTCCTTCTTGTATCATCACAGAAAAGTCCCAGAGTACTGAAATTCCCCCCTGACAGCAGGGTAACACATTGCTGCTTTTCTTACATCTGATTTAAAACGTGTCACTCAGCAGCAGAGCTGAGTGTGTGTTAAATATGCAAAGGAAAACTCTCAAGGCCCTTTTTCTTCCTTATAAAAACTTATTCTTTGAGAAAACAAAGGTTTGCAAGTTGCAAACACAGGAGGCACTGAAAAGTTCTGAGCAGAAATCAAAACTGGGGCAGGCAGTGCAAGAGAAGCGCAGGGTGAGGTGCAGGTTCCTCCTCCTGGTGGGGAGGTGGTGATGGGCACAGAGAAATCTCCCACTGGGAGAGCTGAAGGAAGCCTGAAACCACCTTTCCACGGCTCAAATTCATTTCCTGGGATGCTGGAGCCCCCAAGGCCTGCAGGAGATGTGGATGCAGGGCAGGTTTCCTGGTAACTGCAGCCATTTAGAGGCAGAGGAGAGCAGAAATAGCAGCCCCTGGCCCTAATCACCACTTGCACATGAAGCAAATATCCATCACCTCACCCATTAGGCACTGATTTTATGATGCCTGTTAAATTTAGCTGTTAGGAAGCCATTCCAAGCCAGTAAACTCAGGTTTTCCTTAACTGATCAAGCAGCTGACACCTTCACATCCGACATGCATCCTCTTCTTTATCCAATTTAACAGCCTGACACATTTATAGTCCCTCAGGAAAGGAGAGAGGGGAGGACCCACAAGGGTTTCCAGCATGAAGGATTTTCTAGGGACTTGTTTGAAGGACCTAAAAGTGCTCAGGACCAGGTTGGAGGGGGCTTGGAGCACCCTGGGATAGTGGGAAGTGTCCCTGCCCATGGCAAAGGTGGAACAGAGTGAACTTCAAAGGCCATTCCAACCCAAACCTCTCTGTGCTCCTGTGATTCTCTGACAGAGAAGTAAAACACAAATCCCCCCCTGCAGATGTTTACTGAGGGTAATTTATGTGGGTTGAATTTCCTTTCATGCTGACTTGATTGGAAACCTTGACCTGATCCCTCACAAGGCAAATCAGAGCTCTTAATTATTCCAGTTTTCCTCCTGTTAATGAAATGCAACAGTGTCATTAGTGAGGCTTGTCAGGCACACTTATGTGCACAGAAATGATTTGACACAGCTTTTGTCATCTAATCCTTGCAGGAAAAACAGTCCCAACGTCACTCCAGCACTGTAAATAAAAATCCTTCAAGACAAAGGGGACAGATGGCAACACTCCCAAGGAATATCACCTAAAATATTCATCCTTCAGGAGCAGAGGAGGGCTAGCCCTGTCAACAGTCAGGAGATTTGAATCTTCTAAGGGAAAAAAACCCCAAAAACATAACCAAATATCCTCTGTTCATGAAGTGGAGGAAGAGATCTGTCAAGACAGTGATTTTTGCTGAAGATTTGCTGCACTCAGTGCCTCTGCAGCCTCTGTCAGCATTTCTCACTATCAGCAGCCACAAGAGGATCCACACACACTTCTGTGCACAGCCTCAATTGCTACCATCAATTATTATTGTCAGCCCTAGCTACCAACCAGCAAAAGCATTCAGGGCAAACTTACAAACTGCAGGAGCTCCGTGTCAGTGCAGCTCCACAGGAAAATTCCTTGTCCATCCCTCCCTTCCCCTCTCCTCCCATTTTAACTGCAATCCCAGGCTGTTAAAATGTCAACTACCAAGCTGAACCAGCTTCCTGTGGTAAGAGTTAATTAGAAACAAATGTTATCAGAGATGCATGAAACTACAAACTACTGCTGAAGAGACAACTACAGCAAGAGACAACAACAGTGAGATGCACTAAAGACTTGAAATCAAAAGGGAACAACTCAAAATGATACACAAAACAAGGGGGAAAACGCTCTAGTACAGAAACCACCGTCTGGCCCTTCCAAACCAGAGCTGCCATGAAGACAATGTATAGTTACCTGCATCCATATCTGCAAAGAAGGGAACAGCCAGTAAGGGAAAGAAGGAACCAGAAATTCAGTGTCTCAGAGTTGGATTTAAAAGTTGATAAGGAGAACAGATAAAGAAAAATAATCAAAAAAGTATTTACTGTAAGATAAACCTTGATAAGGTACTGTGATAATTTTTGATTTCAAGCTATAAACTGGGATTAATGTTAAACACTACAGCGTACAAATTAATTTTCTATGCCATAAAAACATTTTTAAAAAACCACAAATATTTAATATATTAAACAATAAGTAAGTTACACATTTTTAGGTGAAGATTTTTATTCTCCTAACAGGAAACCCACCACTGCAGACAGTAACTGAGGCTTTCAACAGCCCAAGTGAAATCAGCAGCACTACTGAGAGCAGCCAACTCCTCTCCATCAGGACTAATTCCCATATGGACACTCACTGGGGCCCAAAGTATTTAAAGGATGCAAAGCAAAGTATTTAAAGGATGGAAAATCCACAATTTTATTGTGCATACTTAGCCCGCTCTGGAGAATGTTAAAGCAAAAAATCCCTGTGCATTTTGAATAGCACATGGGATTTTTTTTTAATCATTTCTGCATGATCAAAAATGAGCAAGGATGTGGATTGTGGGGGGAAAGCAGGCTGGGAGCTGTGGATGCACCTACCTTCAGGTGACTCCTCCTGGACATAGGTGCCGGTCAGGTAGCGGTGCACCAGCGCCGACTTCCCGCTCGCCAGGTTCCCCACGATCCCCTGCATGCAACACGGAAAGAAAGCAACAAAGAGCTCAGCTGCAAGCCATCCCTGCAGAAAGCTGTGTCTGCTGGCAAAATCTTCACCTGGAATAACACCCCAAGCAACAGACACAGAGCAAAATGTGCCCAGAGATAAACAAACTTTGATTGTGTTTAGTGTGAGGAAACCGCTCGCAGTTATTACAGCGTACAGGTAGAAGCTGAGGAGGGTAAGTTTAGGGTTGTAGATAATAATGACTGCTATTCAGCCTAGGTGGGAGATGGAAGAAAAAGCTAGGATTTTTCAGTTTGTGTTTGGTTGAGTCCTATTCATCCTCCTAGGGCTGCTGAGAAGATAGCCAGGATGGTTAGGAGTGCAGGGTTTAGTGAGGGCGAGGTTATGAACAGCAGTGGTTTGGGGTGGGGGGACCTGAGAGATCATCTTGTTCCACCACCCCAGGGTGCTCCAAACCCTGCCCAACCTGGCCTTGGACACTGCCAGGGATGGGCCACCTGTGCCAGGGCCTCCCCACCCTCCCAGGGAAATATTTCAGCCCAGCCCCACAGAGTATTCTTCCTGGAGGTGCTCAGCGCCCAAGGGCTGGGGAGATTTGGGGTTCATGGCTTCAAAGGGGAGCACAGAGCTGAGGACACCCTGCTCCCTTCTTGGGGGAGGGAGGTGATGGAAGCTTCTCTCCCCCTCTGAAACAAGCCCAGCCTGCTCTGCTCTCTGCTGTTTACTTGACCCTCACCAGAGGTTCAGAACAGAAGGTCCCTGGAGAGAAGATGAACTCTGCTGATCTGCCTGGATTGCCAAAGGGCCCGAGGCAGCAGCTACGAGCTGCACATTCCCCACCCACCCCAACTTCTCACCCCATCCCATCTTCTCAGCCCCAGCTGGCAGGACAGCACCCCCCTGACCAAAGCTGGCTTGGTGGGACCCAGCCAGGTGTGCTGGCACCCCGAATTCCCCCAGCCTGGGGCTGCTCCCACAGCGTGGGCAGCAGGGGAGGGAACGAGGGAGGGATGCTGGGATGAGTCACGGGGAGAAAATGACATCTCCAGCATTGTCCCTCACCCCCAGGACATGCAGCAACCTCTCCCATTAATGCCTTTTCCCTCCATTACATGCCCATGGGCTGCAGTACATCTGTCTACTCCCCCTCACACCACAAACCCACTGAGAGCTGAGGGTGAGCAAACAGCTTTGGCCTGGCACCTCCTCTCATCACCAAAGTGACACCAGCTCCCCTTCCACACAAAGCTTCCCAAGGAGAGGCTCCTTCCTTTTTTCTTTTTTTTGCCTACAACAATGTACGCAGTCCCCCACACTCAGGATTCACCACTGAAAAACAGTTATTTTAGTGTGTGAAAGCTGAACTGTGTTTTTCATGGTCTACACATGTGGCCAAGACAACAATTTTCCAGTAAAACCTTCACTTAAAGTGATTAGATGGAAATTAATTTTATTTTCTAGTACACCCGTGCCAAAACTGTAACTGGCAGGGAGAACAGAACAGCATCAACCTGGGGGTCCACTCAGAGGCAACATCCCATGGCTGGGATGTCTTGTTCTATCCAGAGACCCTCAAAGTTTAAAAGACATCAAGATTCAAGAACACAATTTTATATTTTAATTGTTTTTAATATCCCAAAGGTCACACCAGGTCACACCATTTGACAGCACTTCAGGTTCTCTGACACATTCCTACAAAGTAGGAGCAATAAATTCCACACTGGGGAAAAAAATCTGACTTCTGATACAGTTTCTCTGTTTGTCAGCATTAATATTTGCTTTAAGGCTGATCCCCCACAGCATGACAAAAATGCCAGCCTGTTTTCACAGCAGTCATATTCCTCTCTCCCTGCTTTACACACAAACAATCCCAGTCATCTCCATTTATTTATGGATATGTCTGAAATGCACCAAGTTATGACAAGCATGTTAGGGAACAAAAATACCACCCTAACCCAGCTCAGGGAGGAGAAAATTCAGCTCCAACTCACTGCTCTTTTCAGTTGTGACTTGTGCAACACTGAATCATTTATTTCCATGTGCCAGACATGCTGTAAAACAAACCCCAGCCACTTTGCCCACACCTCCTAAAGTCTGGTGGGGAAAATCAGCAACTGTACTGATGGCACTTGGCATTTTAAAGCTGTCCAGGAGAGGAGCCTGACTGCACTCTGCAGATTTTTCTGCAAGAAATTTGGTGATTTTATTCAGCAATCTCTCATGTTTATCCTGCCTAACACATCCTCATTTATTATTTGAGCAAGCAGGAGCCAGGAACACCAAAGGCAGAGGTCTCACCAAGCTCTTGGCCACAATAAAAACGTCAAAATCCATAAGTAAAACCCAAGTGCTGGATCAGCAGGACCCACTTACAGAATCGCAGACTGGTTTGGGCTGGAAGGAACCTCCAAGCCCATCCCATCCCTCCTCCTGCCATGGCCAGGGACACCTCCCTCTATCCCAGAGTGCTCCAAACCCCTCCAAGGTGGCCCTGAATGTCCTTCTGAGCACTGGAAGGAAACCAAGCTAAAGAAGAGAGGCAAAGACTGCTGTTCTTTCCTCAGAGGCACACTGAGAAATACCTCCTTCTTCTATTGCAGCCCTGGGGGCTCTCTCTGCTCTCCCAGAGCCAGTTTCTGTTCCCTTTTAAAAAAAAGGGTACAACACAGCCACTCTAGAAATAAACCAAAGATAAATAACAACAATAATCCAATTAAGGACCTCCCAGCCTGTACAGGGGGACAACCTCTCCCTTTACCATGGCCCTGGTGTTCCTCAGCCCCAGGAGCACCCAGGATGAGGCTGAAGTGAGGGAATGGCAGGGGGCACTCACAGCCCCGAGCCCTCCCCAAGGGCAGATGTGCAGGAAAGGCAGAGCAGATTTCAGCTGGCCTTCCTGATTTACCCTTCCTCTTGGAGCACAAGCTCACAGGCACAGCTGGTGCTGCTGGCTGCCATCACTTGCAGGGCTATAATCAAATTATTATTTTTGTAACAGCAGCAGTTGTGCTTTTCCCCTTGGGCAGCTCCCCTGGCACGCTGACCACTGCAAATCCATTCTCCGCAGCAGCCACACAGCTGAAATCTGGAATTTCCCAGCCCTGCTCAGACAGGTCAGGGGCAGGACACCCAAGGGAACTCTCACATGGTGCAGCCAGGCTGGCACAAGAGGAAAATATACCCTGAGACCATCAGCTGGTGCTCAGCCATGGTTTGTGCCCTGAATCCCAGCAGGGAGTGCCTGCAGCTCTGCTCTCACCTGCAATTCCCAGTTTCCTTGGGGGTGCTGTGAATTAGCAGGGCTCAGAGGAGGGGAAGGGATGGGCAAGGAAACCCAGGAGAAGCCAGCTACTCCCAGTCCTGAATTCCTGGTTTTTCATTGCATTTCGGGCCTTCCAAATGACACCATCTGTTTAACAAAACCTGGAGACCCTTCCTGAATTAGGGAATTACATCCACTGACTGCCAGGTTTTTCCTGCACTCACCTTTCAAAGCAGCCACAGAAGTGCAATTGTGAGGATGCCATTAAAATGCCTTTATTAAAAGTGAATTTACCCTGCTAAGTGTGGCCTTGCAGATTCTCTCACCTCCACAAAACACTACTGTCAACTCGGATTTTGGGAAAAGCTTTAAATTCTTTAAAGAGAGGGAGAACAGACATTTGCTCATTGCAATCATGGAAACTTAAAATGGGGAGATGAAATGAGCTTTACATGTCAGCTGCTAACTTCCACTGCCCTCCTAAGACTTCCCTGCTGAGAAGATCCCCCCTGGAAGCTGGTTCATGGAGCAGAACAAATTCCAGCAGCAATAAAATACTGAGAGATCTCTCAAGTATGAGTAAAATGAATACTGAATATAGATAAAGGTAACCTCAGCCCTGGAAGTGTTCAGGGTCAGGCTGGAGGGGGCTTGGAGCAGCCTGGGACAGTGGGATGTGTCTCTGGAATGGGATGAGCTTTGAGGTCTCTCCCAGTCCCAACCCTTCTGAGTCTATAATAGATATTTACAGGAAAAATCCTTTACTTATTAAACTGATTTTTACATTTTGCCCCAGCAGCAGCTGGGGTGAAGCCTGGGAGGTCCCCAGTGGTGTGTGACATTCCCAGCATGTCCCAGGCAGGAGCAAACACAAACTCACCACTTTCAGCTCGGGCACAGAGCGGCTCAGGGTCCATTCCTGGCTGTTCACAAAGGCATCTGTGGAAAAGGAGAATATTCCCAACATCAGGATAATGACATTTCATGCTCTGCTGCTCACAATTTCACTCCACAGCTTCAGGAATGTGAGACCAAAAGTCTGATTCCTGAGAGGCTGACAGTCCGACGTGACAAAAACCAGGGAAATTGTATAAAAATCCCAAGAATTCCCATTCTGCACGGATCTGCTGCCAGCAGCAGGTGCTCCCACATCATCCCAGAGCTCAAACTCACTCCAGTTAGAGCAAAGGCTCTCCCAGTGTGTACATTGTCACAGACAACTTTTATGAAAAATCATTCCCTTAGGATTTTTCCTCCTGAGAAGCTGAGAGACCTCAGGAACAAAATGTAAACATTGATTATCTGCTGCTGTGGAATGCAACAGGTGCATCTGTGATTGGCCCATGCTGGATGTTTCTAATTAATGGCCAATCACAGCCAGCTGGCTTGGAGAGTCCAAGACAGCTGCCTTTGTTACCATTCCTTCTTAGCTTAGCTAGTCTTCTGAGATGAAACCTTTTCTTCTATTCTTTTAGTATAGTTTTAATGTAATATATCTAATAAAATAATAAATGAAGCCTTCTGAAACATGGAGTCAGATCCTCGTCTCTTCCCTCATCCAAGAACCCCTGTGAACACCGTCACAGTACCTGGTTAAACCATTTCCCATCCACAGGAAAAGCCCTGGGTTTGTCACAGTCATGTCCCCACTGCAGCTGCAGTCACTTTTTCCCCCAGGTAAATCAGGAACTCTGCTGGCTCTGAAACCTGTTATTTCCTGCTGCACATCACATTTCATGTCAGCAGCTGCAGCAGCCAGTCAGTGGGAACAGCCCTGCTCAGGCAAGGGAAAATCTCTTTTTATTCCTCAAACACACCATTTTTTCAGGAGTATAATCTAGGCAGAAATAAACCACAGAGCCATTTACTACGAAATTAATTAAAAACTACTTGTGGCAGGGGTTGATTCCTTGAAGAAAGGCAGGTTTATCACAGAAACTGAGCTCTTTGGGCTGCACCTGGCTCCTGCCTCACTGACAATCCCACACCAAAGCACAGAAATAACGCTCCACTTTTCTGTATTTAAAAACATTTATCGCTTAGTTCCTTCCATAAAGGCCTGGTCAGCTGTAAGCAAACAGAGAGTGATGTTTGTGTTACAAAGCCAGTGTGGGTGCTGATTTAACCCCTGCAGAGCCATGCAGAATGGCTGTGCAGCACAGGGTGCTCCTGCAGAGCAGAGCAGCTCCAAGCCCACAGAAATGGAGCAGCACTGAGGTTCCTGGTGCTCCAATCAGCCCCTGAGCCCACAGGAGACAAGAGCTGCAAGGTTAAAACCACCCTGGTTTTAAACAACCCTCTCAGGGCCCTGCCAGCCACTGCTTCCCCTCCAATGCACCCATCAGCAGCAGGAGAAGGCTGTTCCATTTGATGCTTTTCATCTGGAGAGTAAAGAAATTGGAGGCAATTTCCTACTCCAGATGTGACCCTCACTAACTCCAGAAACCATCCAAGCTCTCCCAGCACCCACCTAAAAACAATCACAAAGCAAACTCGTGTTTTCCAGTCTATCTCCATTAAATATATTGCTTTTGCCTCAACAGCCCAAAAAGACCTCTTAGCCAGGAATGAGGAAACCTCCTCCAGTTTTACCTAACACATCCCTTTGTATTCCAGCTGTGAATAAACCCTGTATGAGAACACAGGGAGAATAATCAATATTTTGGTGCAGGGATGAGCTGCCTCCCACACACTCACGGGCAGGGGAAGGAAAAACAAAGCTCAGAGTGAAATTTGGTTTAACCTTTGGCATTGCAGGTGCAAGAGAAGACCCTGTGCTCATGCAGCTCCTGTTCCATGGCCTGAACTCCCACTGGATCAAAAAAGGGAGGGGGAAAGGGAAAGGGAAGGAGGGGAAAGGGAAAGGGAAGGAGGGGAAAAGGGGAAAAGGGGAAGGAGGGGAAAAGGGGAAGGAGGGGAAGGAGGGGAAAAGGGGAAAAGGGGAAAAGGGGAACCTTTCTGTAGCACAGCCAGAACTTGAGATGGGGCCAGAAGCAGCAGCAGTTTCCATTTGGGAAATGGGAATGACTGAGGCATTCCAAAGGGACCCCAGCTGGTCTGGGATGTTCTCCTGCCTTCCTGGGGGAAGAATGTTTGCCCAGACAGGGAGCAATGGGATGGGAGCTTTAGAGTGGGTACTGGGGGAAAAATATCATTGCCCTAACAGGAAACCATCAGCTCCCATGGTTTGCTGTGGGTTTGGGAAGGAGCAGCCAGGGCTGAAGGGGATGAGGAGGTTCCAGCTCAGCTCCAGACTCTCAGGAGTCAAGGAAAACCATCAGCCTCTTATCCCTGACTTGTGGAGGTTTAGGTGTGTGAAACAAACTGGGAGAGCTCCCCATTAAATGTCAACAAGCTTCCATGTAGGAGAACCACTGGATTTTATCACCATGGAAGATTAAAAAATGGTGAGTGAGCGAATCACTGCTGCTGACTTGGAGATCTGCAAAAAATGAAACCTGCCAAGGCAAAGGGGAGCTGCACGAGGGGAACAAGAACATCAGAAATCCTGTCACTTTTCTCTGTAATAAAAACCTTTTAAAATATTGTTTTGGAACACCCGTGCTTTCCAAAAGGACAAACCAGGGAGGCAATGAAAGCTGAAATCCCAAAAAGCACAGAGGCCAAAAGACAAAGCACAAGGTGGGCAGCTGCAGAGAGGAAGGATGATCCAGCCCAAGGTCTTGAATTTATTCCTCGTACTTGGTTCTTCCTTCATCAAAATGCACCAAAATCCCACACCAGGACCTTCCAAAACTGTATCAGATCTCAAGGACCCTCAATGTGGGCAGTATGTGCATTTTAGTCCCAATTACCAATACAAGAAATAAAATAAAATTCACTTGACAAGGCACAAGAGTTCTTGACAAAGCCACCTTCCCCTTTTTTACTAAAACCCTGAGTTCCTGCCCCCACACAGGTTTTGAGCATCCAAAATACTTGAGAATGGTTGAAATTCCATTTTATTGCCAAAATATGCCTGTTAAAGAAACAAACAAAACCAAACAAAAAAAAGCCCCAAAAACCCCAAACAATCAAAAAAACCCCTCACACAAAAACCCAAACACCTTGACCTCAACCCAACTAATTTTAACTAAAATCTCCCACTTCTATTATCCCTAATTTGCAATTAATTAACATAAGGTCTCCCAGTGCCCTTTAAAAAAATAAAACCAACTTGTTTCTGTTAGGAGATCCATGAGATTGCTCTACACTGGCATGTTTAGAAGGAATTACCACAGCCAAACACAGAATGTGGCATAAAACAGCACCTGGTCTGTTCTGCAGTGTGAGGTTTGTGTGCCACCATTGGGATGGACATGGAAGCAGCCTCTGCCCAATTCTTTGTAGGAATATCTCAGGAAAAAATGATTTATTCCTAGAAGTCAAGGTGAAAAGGTCAAACACTCACAGATATAACATGACAAAGGCTTGGGGGTTAGTTTCCTAAATAAAACTAAGTTATAGCTACAACATGAACCACTGGATCCATCAAACTGGAGCAAGCAGAACCCAAATTGTGCAGCCCACAAAAACCCTCTGAAGCTGAAGCTGCCACCCCCCCATCAGCACAAGTTGATTAAACTCATTGGAAGAGATTTGCATAATAAACAGAACCACATGGATGAAGCTGATGAGCTGGGGTCTTGTTTGCATTACTGCCCAGCCCTGGAATTCCAGTGAACTCAACCTCCACACATGCAAGAAATGGCTTTTGTCAATAATTAATCACACTTGCATCTGCTGCTCCTTTCATTTCTGCACCACTGATCAAAAGCTTCAAATATTCATGGTGTCACTTGCGTCTTCTTAAAACGTGCACCAAGACCACTGAAGCTGCATTTCCTTCACAAAGTTGACTTTGCCACAACAGAAGTCTTCTTTTTTTTTTTTTCCTCAATTCTTTTGGTTTCATTTCTACCCCTACAGCAAAGCACAAACTCCCAAGAGGATCCTCACCTATTTTAAAACCTCAGTTTAGTGATTCAGCCCCATCCAGAGGAACCTTCTTAATTCCAGTATTGAGATGTTGGTTCCACCACATGAATCCCAGACCCCCCATGATGGGTTTCAGGTTTGGATTTGGTGTTTTGGGGTCCCCATGCGAGGTTTGGGGTCAGTTTGGGGGTTTGGGTTGGCTGTTTTGGGGTCACTTTAGGGGTTTTAGGGTTACTGTGTAGTATGGGGTTGGCAGCAACCTTAAAGCCCATCCATTGCACCATGGGCAGGGACACCTCCAATATCCCAGGAGCCCTGTCCAACCTGGCCCTGGACACTCCCTGGGATGAGATCCTGGGGTTTGGTGGCCATCTGGCCCAGGTCCATGCACCCCATGGCACAGGAGTGCAGCTGACCCCAAGGCCTGACTGTTCCAGTATTCCATACTTAAAATTTGCTTAGAATTTCCCCACAGAAAAATCTACTTCTTCAAATGCAGGAACGACCACTAAAATCTAAATAAATCTCAGCAAAACAATGCAAATGAGAGAACACGGGGTCAAGGGCAATCCCAGCACCCATGGCTCAGAAGAGGGGAGGGAAGGCATGAAAACCAGAAATGGTTCCCAGCAGTGACCCCAGCAAGGGCCTGGCTGTCCTGAGTCCAGAGTCTGGCTCATCCCATCCCTGAGTTTTCACACTGGAAACCTTCTCCTAAATTAATTCCATTTACTCTCATGGAATCATGGCAGTGAAGTGAATTAATCAGCAGCAGCGAGGCAGCTGAGGGGAGCTGTGGGGAAAAGGTTCTAAAAGCTGGGGCAGTCAGATTTACAGCACCCTCTCCACCCTCTGGGACCATCCCAGCAGCCAGAGCAGTTTGACTGTTGTTTATTATTATTATTATTATCATTATTATCATTATTATCATTATTATTTTAGGAGAGCCTGGGCAGCCCCAATATTACCCAGCCCTGGGCAGTGCCAGCACATCCTGCCCA